TAAATTTTTAAGAGAGAATAGGATGTTGGTAGCAACTCCTCCATCGTCTATCTCCGTTCTCTAATCCTATTCTCCCCGCTTCCGTTCAACTTCTGTAAAATTAAATTTTTATGGCAGGTATTTGATACGTACATAATTTCATAGTTAATGATGTATTCTTGTATTTGGTTTCTCGATTGTTTAGTTGTTTTAATTTTGGGATTGCACTTGAAGATATCAAACACTAAAATCCTATTTTTTTATAGTGCCTATAATGTGTATGTTAAAATGTATCTATGACTTTTCCTTTTTCAGAATTTTTTTGTAGGCTTCATCCGTTTAGTAGCTTTACAAAATGGGAGTATAACATGGATTGTGCTTCAAGGTTGGATAGGTAAAGGACTTCACCTATTTTATTCTGCCAACATGATTGTTTGAAAGAGGCTAAAAAGGGACAATCGAAAACTTACTTAGAAGATGTCGGGGTTTCGCGCTCAGTTTATGAGCCTAAAGAATCGGATACAGAGACCTTTAGTTCTGTCTCCTCAGCCCTCATTACTTTTTCATTCGGATTTGCTTAGCATTGATTATTCTGGAACAATAACAGAGTATAGTGATACTAAATTGTTGAATCTTGACGCCCTAAGCCTAGTCCCTGGTGTGAAGAATTGTCTTCTTCCCTATGGATGAGAGATGCTACCACGCCGGTCAGTGTTTCACGCCTGACTAAAAGCGCTGGATCAATTTATTTACGAGGTTACTAGTTTTTCTTTTGTTATACAACACGTAAGCAAGCAGATATTCAATTTCTAGTTGATTAGCGGGATTTGGTGTTTGAGCAAGATCTTTTTAGACTTATGATGGTTCTTACTTTTAATGCTTCAATAAGTATATTATGAATACTTTTAATTAGGATTATATGAGTATAAGAAAAGATGGGTTCTGGCTGCTGCTCTAATTAAATTTGGGGCTGAAATGATTGAATTGCCCCCGAGCTTTTGTGTTCCAAATATATATCAAGCTTCCTACCCTTAATAAGCATTTTCTATGCTCAAAAGTCACTATAAATTCATTCAAATTTTAAATATATGTTTATTATTGTTCAGTAAAATTTAATTTTCTCATTTAAATAGTGGATATGTGATTCATGAGCACAATTGTATGTTTTTCATATAACTCATTATTTATATTTTGTCAAGATTGGTTGATGCATGCTTCTTATATGCTAGTGTATTTTGGCGTTAAAAAGGAAAAAAGATCCAATATATCAAGCAGCTGTTCCCTAAACACTTGATGGAGGTGATGCTTACAATATTCTCACATAAGCCTCGATTTGCATCATTTTACTCCTCGTTAGCTTCATCACCAGTATTAACAAAGTGGTAGGACTAAAAGCACTACATTATATTTTTATCTCTTTAGAGATCTAGTATATCTTGGTCTGTTTTACACACCGGTATATCTTTAAGTTTTTCGAATAGCACTTGTCATATTGTTAGAACTTTCATTGTGAGTCAAGTTTGTCTGTAATGTCTTGTTATTAAGGTAGACTAGTTATACCATTTATGGTATTAGATTAGTAATCATTTTGTAATAAATAGGTTAAAGGGAATAACGCCCAAAAAGGTCTTGGCCCAAACCTCAAGGTTTACCTAAATCGGTAACCTGTACAGCGCCTATAAATATGCGCCTTGTGTATAGGTACCGATATCGATCAATACAGCTCTTAGCCTTACGCTGTCAAAATAGTTTTCGATATAATAGAAGAAGAATTTCTCTGTTCTCGATATTTCTGTTTATCGATGAATATCCATCTAGCTGATTGTTAGTCTGCATATACTGGGACCAACACATATATCTTTGAGTTCTTGATTATCTATCTCTAAGTAGTGCATTATTTTTTGTAGGTTAAAGTGAAGAACTAAGAGAACATGTAATTGATGGACAATGTGTGGAAGAATCGAGGCATTCTTATTTTGATCATTACTACCATTTATATGAAAAGAGTTTGGACACCTAGAGAATTAAAGGAGATAAGCACTTTCGTAAAGGAAATTGCAACAGAAAATCATAAAAAGATGAGAAAGAACTAATATAATCAGCCAGGAATGTGAAGAAATGGAGTATAATAGTTCTTATTGGTAGAATGGTTTCCAGATCCTGCCTCACCTCACATGATGAAGTATAAAGTTGAAGAAATAGAGTTGAATGATGCCATTGATATAATCCAGTTTAGTATCCAGCTGGAAGAAAATATATTTATGTACTCTGATGTTTTGGATTTTATTAATTGTGTACGATAACTTTAGTTTATGTATTTCAAAGCAGACAAATCTTCATGTCAGGCCGGCCTGACGGGATGCTCCGTCCGGCCGAGCCCATTTGGGTACCTTCCCGGTGTAATTTTTTGATGAAATTTTTTGAGTATGTTCCTCATCAAGTGTAGTTTGTCCATACCAAATTTCAGCTCAAAATCCGATCGGGAAGGCAATCAAATCATATTTTGAAGTTGACTGCAGTTTTAAATGTATTTATTGACGCAGTCAACTTCAAAAATGATTTGAATGTCTTCCCGATCGAATTTTGAGCTAAAATTTGGTATGGACAAACTAGACTTGATGAGGAACATGCTCAAAACATTTCATCAAAAAATTCCACCGGGAAGGTGCCCAAACGGGCTCGGCCGGACGGAGCATCCCGTCAGGCCGGCCTGACAAGAAAACCACTCTTTCAAAGCATATCAAGTGATTTAAATGTTTTATTTTAAATACAAATGTGATCCGGATTAAAAATGTATAACTCTATTAAAGTGTTGCCTAATTTGAAAAAAATGCATAAAGAACTCATGTAAATGTTACATAATATAAATTAGTGTTACAAAAGAATATAATTGTTGTGTTACATAAGTATAAGAAATATGTTGCATAAAAGTACATTTAAGTGTTGCATTTTATTACAAAAATGTTGTGTATGATGATCATTAAAGTGTTGCAAAAACTGTTGCATTTGAATCACTTATGCAACACTTTTATTCAACGTTGCATAATATGATAAAAAGTGTTGCATATGACTTTATACAACGAGATCTGATGTAACACCTCCAAAAGTGTTACATTACTTTTTGTAACATTATAATGATGTAATGTAAAATATTTGACATGTTGCAAAAGCTCTATTTTGTTGTAGTGAGCGCAGATGTGAAGAACATAAATGACCTAGGTCGATGTAGTGTCCATCGTATATTGACTTGGGATATTTCAGGAATAAAATTAGAAGAATCAGAAGTTGTTTCAGAGATGCTGCTACTGCCAAGCTTCTACAAAAGTGATTTTGCAGCCTATCTAAAAGCACTTTTAAAATCAGATCCAAACACCTACAAAACCGATTCTGCTTCAAAGTGCTTCTTGGGACAGCAGAATCAATTTATAAAAGTGGTATACATTACTAACAATCATACATACAATACATTGTTGTAGGTATACATTAACCAGGGGAGGATCTATGTACGGGCTATGGCCTATGGTAGGCTGAAACTCAGGGCAATTTAGTTTTTTTTTTTCAATTTTTTTAGTATAAATTTTTTCATTTTTCACATTTAGCCCACCCCGCTGATATTTAAGCCTAGTATAATTCTTATTCAGCCCAGGACATCTCAGATTTCTGGATCCACCCATGACATTAACAACATTTATACATACAATCTCAGGTATACATTTACAACATTCATAGATACAAACATCTTTGTAGGTATACATTAACAACATTCATACATACACACGTCTTTAGTTATCTATACACACCGACATTAGGTATCGGTAAGGTCGTATTCGTAGCAACATTCATACAAGTCGTTGTTGGTGGCAAACACAATGAGAATTTCTTCAGTTTTCTATACATACTGACAATAGTTGTCGGTAGGGATGTATTTGTAGCAACTTTCATATATGTAGTCTTCAGCACAAGCAAACGACGAAGACTACGTAACATGTCTGTGTGTGCATGTGCACAGACACTGAGTATGTAAGACGTATGTGTGTGTCAAAACAAATACTCCCTCCGTCCCAAAAAATTGTTCCCGGTTTCCTTTTTCGGCCGTCCCAAAAAATTGTTCCATTTTCCCCTTTTGGAAAGTTTTGTGTGGCTCACATTCATTTACCTTTTTCTTACACAACCACAATCATACATTTTCACTTTATTTCCACTTTCTTAAACTCCGATCCAAGTCAATGCGGGAACAATTGTATGGGACGAAGGGAGTACCTCGATTATCTTCGTTCGTCTTCCCTGTTGTCAAAGCTGTCATCATCCCGACCCTCGATGATCGAAACTTCGTTCGCCGCAGCTACATCTTCGTTGCCACCTTCTATCACAGATCCACCACCCGTCCCACCAAAGTCTTCATTCCCAACTTTGTTCGCATCTTCATGTTGGTTCGCAACTCCATTTTCTTCGTTCACAACTTCATTGTTCTGCCATTCCCGTTGTTCATTGTACTTCGCATCTCATTATTTTTCATAGCTTCGTCTTTTCCTATCACTTCTTCGTCCACTAGAAATATGCTAGAAAGTCATCCATGATATTTGATGGAAAAAATTAAAAATATAAGAGAGGCAAAGAGAAGAGAAATGAACAGGCAGAGAAAGAAACATTGGGAGAGGAGGGTTGTGCAAGAGGGGTAAAGACGGCATTAAAAAATGGGTGTACCCCAGAGTCTACACGAAAGGTATGTTTGGCACAACTAGCAGAAATGATACTTTTGTGAGTTTTTTAGTAACTGTTAGCTTTTAGTGACTGAAAAAATCTTAAAAAGAAAAGGTGATAGCTGTTTGGTAAAAAGACGACTGTTTGGTTTAGTTCGGTATACAAGCTGTTAGGACTAACTAATACGGAGTACTAAAAGTCACGAGCTTTTCTCAGATGCTACACCCGGTAGCATCTCAAAAAAGTTTTTTTATTTTTTGAAAAGCTCTTAAAAAATCATACTCCCTCCGTCCCATAATGAACTTCTCAGTTTGACTTCACACAGATTAAGAAAATAAATTTGACTTTACTGTGGAGTGCACTGTTTTGCACTGTTTGACACTGTTTGGACACTTTTTTGATGTAGATTATTTGCGAAATAAGGAAAGTTTTAAATTAATTTTGGGACGGAGAGAGTATCAAACTTACAACTAGAATCTTTTAACGTCTTTTTGAAAAACAGAAAAGCTAGAAGCTTTTGTGTGCCAAACATACCCCAAACACTTTTTGTTTATTTAAAACAAGAGAAATGACCGAACAATAATGTACAACAAGAAAATTTGTAGTGACATTATTGCTTTACCATTGACGGTCACAACTTTATATATGTACATTCATTAAACACACCATATGGTCACAACCGACCTTTCCACATGCATCCCACTGAAATCTCCACTATAGGATTCTTTTTTCAGTTTTACATTTTCAAAATAAAATAAAAAAAGGGAATGATAAGAAAAGAAATGAAAAAGGTGGCGTCTTCATCTAAAATCTCCACTTGTCACTGAGTTCAGCAGAAGAACATCACGAATTCTGGAAAGTTTAAGCAGAAAATTGTACGGACATGGTTTCTGAAGACCTAGCTTAGTATTAGTAACCGATGTTGTAAAAGGGCAAGTTCGTCAATTTCTTCCCCGCTACCTCTGGTGGTACGATCCAGACGCGTACATCTGGCCCTGGTTATACACCGCCGGACCGCCATACATACCGGCCGAACTCGAATTCCCGGCGGCGGATCCAGCGCCGCCGCTCCCGTCCTTCTCCCCGGGGCGATTGCCCACCGAGATCTTCTCCCCCTCCAGCTCTCTGTACTTGGCCAGGTAGATCTTGAGCGGCTCGACGTACTCCTCGAATCCGAGCGTGGTCATGGCCCAGAGGAGGTCGTCGCCGTTGATCGTCTTCCGCTTCTCCCTCTGGCACTTGTCGGAGGCCTCGCCGGTGATGAAGCTGATGAACTCCGACACGCACTCCTGGACAGTCTCCTTCGCGTCCTTCGAGATCTTCGCGTTCGCCGGCAGCGCCTTCTTCATGATCCGGCTCACGTTCGCTATGGGCAGGAACCTGTCCTGCTCCCTCGCCGAGTCTCGGGTCGTGCCGCCGCCGTTGTATCCGCCGGAATCGTTATCAGAATCCGCCATCCGAAATTAATTAATTAGCAAAAAAGGGGGAATAATTAGGCGGGAAAAGGCGGGGCTTAGTAACTTTTTCCTTTTCGGAGAGGCTCTAGGGTTTGACGAAAGAGTGGCCGGAATCCCGGGGAGGAGAAAGGGGGTTGAGCGAAGTGGCAGGGTCCGTCGGATCGGTGGTGTAATATGTGCATCCGAACTTACACGTGGTGGAAGGTGGGCCGTTTATTAATTGATAAGGTGTGGAGGTGTGGCACCAGGAGAACCGCTCGATGGAGATGGGAAGGTTTGAGAAAGAATGGGGGCATGGGGTACAGAAACAGTGACTGCTTTTTGATTGAGAATCTGAAGCCGCCTCTCTCACTGACATTTTTTTTATCGCAGAACTCAACATTATACTGTAAGTTACTCGGTGGGGTAAGCAGGTCGGATATACACAGTCTTACCCCATTGAAGTATAGAAATACTGTTTCCGGATGACTTATAATAAAAATCACATTCAAAATTGCTGCTTCATAATAAAGAAGCGCAGACAGTTTAGTGAGTCATTTTGCTTTATTCTATCATATTTTCAAGTCAAAAAATAATGAATATTTGGCAATATGTATTACATATTACTGAGTAATTTACAATAAAATCAGAAATTAAAGCATAATTAAAAGTAAATCTAGGAGAGCAATATGTGTTTTTTTAGAGTAGAGCAATATGTGTTTTTGTTAAAGCACAGGCAACACAATTCCAAAATCGCTTACAAATCCATACTCCCTCCCTCCCTGAAAGAAGTTCTTCATTTGACTTTCACACACTTTTATGCAAGTAAACTTGTCAGGGGTGAATTTACTGTTTTGACACTGTTTGACACGCTTTGCACTGTTTGACACTGTTTTGATGTAGATAAATTTCCATTTATGGAAATGAGAACTTAAATTAGGGACATCCAAATAAGGAAAGTGAGAACTTCTTTGGGGGACGGAGGGAGGGAGTATGAGAGAAGTCATCCCTTTTCTTGATCCCTTGTACAATTGTTTGCGTGTCCGATTTCATCTCAACTTTGCTCCTACCGTCATTAGTAGCTCCCAAAATAGCCTCCCTAATTTTCATTGCTTCACTTTCAGCTAGCGACCATCCCGCCCTCTTCGACCCTTCTCCAGCTTTGATAAAATCCCTTCGATCGTTTTTGGCCATATATCCAACCTCAGGCTCTAATATTCCTCGGATCATTCACTATCACATCCATATTATTGCATCCGCCCTTGGTAGTTGCCACTTTGTATTAGCAATCATGCGGAAGGATCATTGTCGAGACCCTTGTTTTGTGTATCTCTCCAAGCGGACAACATACTAGCTCCACATTTGATCATCATCGCCATTCTCTACCACTCATCCTTCCAAACTACATTGTTATGTCGCTTCGAGATACTCGAAAGTAGAATAATAAATTTACATCTATCCTCCTTGTCTAGCATCTCAAGTTGCGCCTTCACTCAGTCTTCAATTGTGCATGCCTGCATGTCGGAGCCAACCCCTACATCCCGCCATATGTCCTTTGCTCGGTGGCATGGCTGCAAAGCATGTTCAATTGTCCCATCTAGGCCCGGGACTTGGAAGTTGGAACCGTAAAACCGAGAAAACTGATCCGAATCGAACCGAATTTTCCGGTTTGGTTCGGTTCCTATTATTTTGGACTTCATCTTTTTTCGGTTCGGTTCCTATTGTATATGATCGGTTCTGTTCCAGTTCGGTTCCGGTTCCTAGGCAGGAACCGAACTTCTTATGCATTGAATGAGTCAATGAGTAATCTCATTTGAGGTGTTTCTGGGTGGAATTTTTTGATGAAATTTTGTAGGCTTGTTTTTAATGAAATATAGATTATGTCCACTAAATTTGAGCTTAAAATTCAATCTAGGAGCTAGTTAAATAAATTAGTGAAAAACATTGCGTCAAATACATATAAAAACACAATGTTTTTCAATATTTCATTTAGCTCACTTCCCGATTGCATTTTAAGCTGAAATTTGGTGGATGTAATCTACACTTCATGTAGAACATGCTCACAAAATATCATAAAAGTTCTGCCCGGAAGCATCTCAAATGAAGATGGTCAGACGGCGTTCCAGGCAGAAAATTCTTGTCAGGAATATTTGTCTTGCATAATATACCTTATATATTGTCATTATTGTGGACCACGCCAATTCAAGTAGTTGTTATTTTACTTCTTTAGTCCACTTTTATATTTATTATTTGTTTGTGATTGTATTTTTTATATGAGCTCACAATAAGGAAATAATATTCCGCTGATTACGTTGTTATTTGTTCATAGTAAATTACAAATATTATTGGTCAGTTTATTACTACGTACTTTTTACTTATGTTGCATTACTAGTAGAAGAATATTATTTTGAAGTTGAACTATTTGCTATTGGATGTGTACCTTGAAGCTATTAAATATTTTTTGCTTTATAGTTGATGCTTAAATCAATTATCGTATTATGTTTAAATTAATGTTTGCACTTGGATATTTTTGTGATATTTGAACATTGAAATATCATGTATGTAATAATGGTCATAATTTCATCATTTGAAATTTGAATTTTTTTATGTAACTGAAGGTAAAATGTGTTCATTTTAGGAGGATAAGAAATTTCTATTAGAAATCGAAAAATGTAAGAATCGAACCGGATTTAACTAGAACCGAACCGAATTTAACAACTGCATTTTTAACTAAACTCGAACCAAATTTAGCGTCTATAATTTTTAATACGATTTCATCGGATTTTAACAAGAACCGAAGCGATCCCAGGCCTAGTCTCATCACCTTGCCCACAAAGCTTGCAAACCGTTTGGACCGCCACCCCTCTCCTCCTAAGTTGTCAAGAAATGTCAAAGAACCATCCAAGACCTGTCATGATAGGTACTTCACTTTCGGTGGAACCTGAAGGTCCCATGAGTTTGCCATACCTTCCAGTTCTTTGTCACTGACTCTCACTGACATTTAAAGAATGGTTTTTCTTTTATTGAAGTGAAATGAAATGAAATTGTTTGGGACATCCATGGACAATAGTGCCGCTCTTTGGGATTCTCTTATCTGCGAACTACTTTCACCAAGGGACGTGACTGCTTTTATTTTTGTTTGATGAAAATCAAATTAAGGAGTAGTAATTTATTCATATCAAATGATAGCAAAGAATTAAGTAATTGAATAGTTTAAGGCTATAATGAGAAGAGACTTTGAACGGAAAAGATTTCATGAATCATTCCAGATCGCTACCCCCACACCCAATAATGTTCTAGTCTAACATATTATTGTACTCGTTACTCCAAATAAAAAATAAAAAATTACAAATAAAAGAGTTGGCTTCACCCGTCACCAGAAAGAGATAATTGATTTGACCAACAAACAACAAAGGAAACCCTATTGAGCCAAAATTGTCTGAATCATCGGTTTGACTAGCCAGCAAAAAGGAGATTCACTTGAATGCTTTCTTTTTCCCGGAGCAACAATGTTGAGAAAGCTTTTGACAACCATGAAAACTGAAAACTCACCAAATCGATTACACTGATGAGAAACCCACAACCTCTAGACACATCGCTAGGAGAAAAACATACTACACCCTCTGTAACATAAAAATGTTCCCATTTCAAAAGTAGGTAGATTAAGAATAGTGAAAGATGATATAAATTATTGAGGGTATAATGAGAAGATAATGAAATAGTGTGATGGAATGAGGGATAAATCCAAAAAAAGTATTTGTAATGATGTATTTTTTTCAAAAATATTGAAGGTATGATGAAAAATATTTAGAAATGAGAAATTTTTCGTTACGGACAAAAAATGAAAGTGGGATGATTTTTTTTGTTACAGTGGGAGTACATTTTATGCGGCAGTGGGGTAATGATGATGAATGATGATGGTGGGAGTACATTTTAATTTGAAATAGATCTAACGTAACTACGACATGCAAGCAGAGGTCCAGAGTCATATGGTTTCAAAAGAAAGTAATTACTGCTTATATTTAAGCAGGAATAGATTTTAGAAATAGAAGGTAGACATACATAAGGGAGTAAAGGGTCAGTTTAGTCCTCGAAGTTGCAAAAAAGGCATCAAATAAGTCCTTATATAGAAGATTCTGTCCGGACATGTCATTTGAGGTGGCTCCCGGTGGAGTTTTGTGATAATTTTTTTTGAGCATCGTATTCATTAAGTCTAGTTTAGTCATACCAAATTTCAGCTATAAATTCAATTGGGAAGACATTCAAATGAATTCTTGAAGATAACAACGCTTTTAACGGCACAGTTATCTTCAAGAATTCATTTGAATGTCTTCCCGATTGAATTTTTATCTGAAATTTGGTATGAGTAAACTAGACTTAATGAATGAGATGCTCAAAAAATTTCATCAAAAAATTCCACCGGGAGCCACCTCAAATGGCACGTCCGGACAGAATTTTCTGTATAAGGATTTATTTGACCCCTTTTTTGCAACTTCGAGGACCAAACTGACCCTTATCCCCATACATAAGTGGCCAAGAAAGCGAGAAACAAACACTAAAGGTGAATTGCATATAACAATTAATTAAAGAATAAAAATGTCAACACACCTTAAATTAATCCACTAAAGGTGAATCGAAGAAAGAATCTTATGTAGTAATTATGAAGGAATAGGGGAAGTTGTACTGTTGAAAGGTCACTTTGTTAGTATATAATATAATGCATATTGGGGGTGTTTGGATCTGATTCTCAAAACTGATTTTGCTCCTTCAGGGAGCAGAAGCAGAAGCTGGAGTGTTTGGGTGAAATTCCAGAAGTACTTCTGGAGGTCTAATTTACTCTCAGAATCAATTTTTTTAAAAGCTGGGAGGTACCAGCTTCTGAAAACTGATTCTGATTCTGCTTCTGTTTTTAAAAAAGAAGCAGAAGCAGAATCAGTTCCAAACACCCCATTGTTGCATGCAAAATCCTCTATCAAAAATTGCATATGAGAATATAGTTAGGAAGTAAATGTGTTAAATGGTAAGTATTGAATAGCCGTACCACAACGATGGCATCGAAGTGTCTAGAATGAATTAGCAAGTACAACCTAATATGAGTATAAAATTCAATAAAAAAACAAACATAGATTTAGATAGGAAAAAGATGTGAATACGATAAAAACAGAATATATTCACCTCACCCTATATGTCCACATATTTCTTCACTACTCAAGGTTTTAGTAATTTAGTTCTATGCCTGTTCATTTTCCTATCAATTTTTACATGAGCTGGTTACTATAATAGATGAGGCACCACACCATTGTGGTCGTCCGGTTCGATGCTCCATACAAGATGTGCTCCGTAAAAGTTTGGTTCCATTCTATGCTATCCGCATAATCTCTTCCCACTATGAGTATATCGTTCTTTTGCTTTGTAAAAGAAGATGAAATATGAGACCCAAGTTCGTCTAGTGTCGTTCTATTATGCGAGGTGAATAATAATTTGGTAATCATTGGATGAAGATAAAAACTTAATCTCCGGCTATATAAGTGTTGTAGCGAAGCATCTTTCTGTTCAAAGT